TCTAAGCCTTGCTGTTCTCCATGGTTCCACACTGCCCATAGGTGAACACTGGGGAAGAGACAAGGGCGATACATGTGGGATGTTTTTCTTTTCCCTTGAGTGGCTAAGGAATGGTTCCTGCTGAGGAAGGGAGGAGACAGGGAGTTGTGGGCCCCTGAAACCTGGTGGGTGGCGTTCTGCTGGCATACGAGCCTGAGCTGCAGGTGGCACCTGGAACACCTACCTGGTGACAAGGTTTACAAGACTGGCTTGAAGGCAGTGCCAAGAGTCTATTCCTTCCTTCCCACTCCCTGGGCCCCTCCAAGAAAAGTCCAAAGGGTATAGATTTTTCCTTGGAGAACTAGGAGAAGGAAACCAGCCCAGATGTTTGAGGGAAGGTGTTCTTCGTAGACTGAGGTTCTGGGGATTCACCAGCCTTGACCTCAGTAGCCCTTCTCGACCCTTTCTGGTGTCCCTTCCTTTTCTCTCTGCCATTCTCGGCAGGGCAGGATGGTAGCTCGAGCATTGCTGGGGCATCGCTTGCCTGCCTGTACCCAAGCTCCCTTCCTCTGTTTGAGGTTCTGGTTCCATCTTCGAGAAAACAAGAATGCTGTGGATTTGGACTCTGGTTGGCTCTTGGCAGCTGCATATTCCTGGGGAGGTCACCTAGCCTCTCTGAGGTTGCTTCTTTTTTTTTTTTTTTTTTTTTTTTTGGGGTCCCCGACCCTCTCACTTTTGTGGCCTCTCCCGTTGAGGAGCACAGGCTCCGGACGCACAGGCTCAGCGGCCATGGCTCACGGGCCCAGCCGCTCCGCGGCATGTGGGATCTTCCCGAACCGGGGCACGAACAGGCATCCCCTGCATCGGCAGGCAGACTCTCAACCACTGTGCCACAAGGGAAGCCCTGAGGTTGCTTCTTCATTTGAAAAATGATATACATCTTTCAGGATAGTTGGGAGGATTTGTTGAGACAGTGTGAAAAAGTTCAGAACTTAATAAATGTTCATTGTGTATAACTTAAATGTGAATCAAAATCACTCCTGTTTTTCTCGTAGCATCAGCTACTTACTGAACAGGGGAGATGGGCTATCTGGCCCAGTGTCTGATGAGAGGAGGATGAGAGAGCTGGAGCTCAGGGACTCTGCCAGGACAACTGTCCAGCACAACAAGACAAGGTGTACTCTCAAGGGGTAAGCCCAAAATACACAAGAGCATTAAAAAAGTGAAACATTCGTGGGTGACAGATTCATAATGGGATTATTGATTCAAACACAGATCCTTTCTCTTCCTTGCATTTTCCACCCTCCTCCCTCCAAAAATTGTTGCTGATGGCTGGGAGGCGACTCAGGGAAGAAGCTAGCAAGAGACAATGACTTGGCTGCAACTGGTGCTAAAAATGACCAGCATCACAGCAAAGGAAGGAGACGGCATCGTCCCTCATCCCTAATCTCCCTCCCTGAGCCTTAGTATCTTATCTGTAACAAGGGAGAAAGAACTTGAGAAGTTGAGTGGATTAAATGCCATAAGGGGTCTGACACCCATTAATAATAGTAGTAAGAATCGTGATGTCTGGAGTCCCCAGGGCCAGACACCATGTTAAATGCTTTAAAAACAGCAGCTCCTTCAATCGCTGGCCCGAACTCCACGAAGGCCGGGACTAGGTCTGTCTTGCTCCCTGGCATATTGTCAGTCCCAAGTATAGTATCCTCCTGCATGATGATGATAATAACCAACACTCCCAGGAACCTTATTTTGTAAACTCACAGTATAGCCTTCTTCACCATTTTCAGCACTGTACATTTCTAATCTTCATGACAGTTCTAAGGGGTAGGTACTACCATTATCCCCATTTTATGGATGAGGAAACTGAGGCACAGAAGGGAAAGAGAAGCTGGGTAACTTTCCCAAGGTCACCAAGCAAGTGATAGAGCTGGAGTCTGAACCTAGAAAATCTGTCTCTAGAGACCATGCCCTTGCCCCCCTGTGCTAACTCAGGGGGTCAGGGAATGCTCACAAGTCCAGTGTCAGGCTGTTTTATAGATAAAGCAATAGAAGCTAAGAGGGAAGTTAAATGATTGGCTCTAAGCCACAGAGCCATTAGGCGACAGACCCAGGATGTGGGTCCAAGGTGACCAAGCTAAATGCCTCTGAAAGGGTACAATTTACTCCCCCAGGCCAAGCCCTGGGGGCCAGCCTTTCCCTGTAGCCCCAGCCCTGCCCCCCGCGACCCCAAGTCCACAAATGTCCTCAGTTTTGGTCTGACCTCAGCTAGGCAGCTCAGAGACAGCCCTCCAACCAGGAGTCCTTCAGGAGTCCAATTCCAAGGGTGGGACTGGCTGCAGGCTGACGCTGGGCCCTCCCTTCATCTGTAGCCTCTGGCGAATGTGCCTCTCAGAGGCCCTGGGGTATTCCCCATTCCCAGCCTCCTAGGGCAGGGTGGAGACTGTCTCGCTGGGAGTGGGAACTGGCAGCTTCACACACAGTGTTTGGTCAAGAGATTTTTCATCCTCCTCTCCTGGCAAGAGCTGGGTTTCCATCACTCACATGCTTGCTTTCCATCACTCACTTCCTTGCCCATAGGCTGGCATCTGGCTCATGGTGGATGTCCCATGATAAGTCAGGGATATGACAGCTGCCGTTAACAAAACTTCCCCATTCAACTTCCCAGGGTAGGCTGGCATGTAGAGGAGTCCGAGGGAGGGATGGAATCAAAAGAAAACAGCTTTTGACACCAGACTCATTTGAGGTTGAGTCTGGCCTCTCTCTGCTGCTTACAAGCTAGGTAGCTTGGGACAAGTCACCGAACCTCCCTAGGAACTTAAGTTTCCATATTCATAAAATGGTGATAGAAATTCTTATCTGGAAGGCAAAGCCACTGCTCTGCACGGCTCTAGGGGGCATCATTAACACGGTTGTCTGTGTGAGTGGTGACACATGGAACCCAACTCCATAGAATAAAGGTGAAAGATGCCCCGAGACTGCAGATCCCTGAGTCTGTACCTTGCAAGTAAGAATAGGCCTGTGAACTTTCGAATGTGGAACCAAGATACTAACAGGGTCCTTGTGAAGACCTGATATTACGCTATGGAAAGGGGCTGGGGAGCGTGGATGCATGGTAGGCATGGCATTATTGTGGGATAAGGAGGCGGCCCTTGGAGTGAACAGTGCCCCGCTCCCAGACACCTGCCGCACTGAGGGATGTACCTGCCTAGTTCTGGATCTTGTGTGGACCAGCCCAGAGCAGATGAAGACCCACCACACAACAGCCCTTGAGGCAAGGCCTCAGCTTCCATGTCCTATAGGGTTTCTTCTTACTTCTCAGTTTGGCCTCACGGCAACCACAGAGGGCACTAGATATCCTGGCAGTGGGCTGGGAGAGTTAGGGGGTTTCAATCTATTTGGGGGGTTGCAGTTGACTAGCCCAGAAATTCTGAATGGAATTTCTCCCCAGCCTTGCTTTCCAGTCTCTGCCTAAAACAACTCACCCTGTCTTTATTTCCCCTCAGAGGGTGCCTTCAAGTCAAGACAGCTTTATTAGAAACCTACCACTGTATGCTATGCTAGGCACAGTGGAGAGGAAGGTGCCAAGGTAGATAGACAGTCCTTAGTCCCACAAAGCTCACAGAAGAATTAGCTGAGGAGGTGGAGTGCAGGGACTCCGGGGTCCATGGTGCACGTACGTGTGTGTGTGTGTGTGTATGTATAGAATCACCTTCACTTAACACTTGGACCCAAGGGAGCCATCCTCCCTGAAAGCAAGGAACCAGTAGCTCCACTGCCCACCTTTAGAATTTAAGCTTTTCTTGTTTCTCCAGGTGAGGGTCCTGCCTGCCTAGAGCAGTTCCCTGCAGCCTCTCACCACTTTTCAACTGGCCCAGCTGGCTGCACTTCTGCAGCTTCCAACACAGGAGTTAGTCAAGGGATCCCCATCGAATGGGCACAGAAGCTCACCTTTTAATTGCCTCTCACACCCTCCCTTCTCCCTCCTCCTTCCCTCCACTTCAACAATGCCATCCGCTTCATTTGTCTGTTCAGTGAACTCTGAGGTATAGCAGACCCCCTGACTTGTCTATCTGATTTACTGGGAACCCCTAGCTCCTTGCTCAGAGCTAGTAAGGGCTCAATACATATTAGTTGAGTGAATGGTTAGAAGAGTAATGAAATCTTTCCATGGAAGTTGGCAACCCTTCATGTTTATTCTAGGAAGATGTTCAGGTGTCCACCGGTGTTCTCCAAAAGAAGTCACCACCACTCTTCTTTCCCTCCAGGAACCCCTACTCCTGACCCCTTTATTCATTCATTCATTCATTGGGTATTTATTGAGTAGCTCTTCTGAACTAGGCATTGCATCCTGTGCTGGGGAGACAAGCTTTGAGCTCTCCCACCCCATCTCCCTCTTCAAATCCCCTTCTTTCTCCCCGTTGCCACCAAACACCCTGCCCAGGACACTTGCCCCTTCCTCGTTCTGCCTTTTTCGGAGTGGTCCCATATTTGGGTTTCTTTGACCCCGCCAAACCTGTATAGGATTGAGGGAGGGAGGGAGGGAGGATGGGAGGGAGGCAGCAGGACTCCCAGTCTCTAGCACCTGCCCTCAGTCCATCCCTCCACCCCACCCCAGGGACTGTCCAAGCCAGCTCTGCCCAGAATCCCCAGCCACTCAGCCTCCTGGAACGGCCCTGAACCTTGTTGTCTCATCTCAGCCTCTGGGGGCCCTGCCCATGGGCGTCCTGCAGAGCCCACCCGGTGCCTGGCCCCCAGCGCCCTGGCCCCTCAGTGCTGCCCGCGGCGGGAGCTGCCAGCTTTTTGGAATTCCTAATCGCTCCTGGCCCCGGTGATTGGCTGCTCAGCTCTGACCCCACTTGGGCTGCCGCCTGGTTGGATAAAAAGGGAATCTCCTTGGGGCTCCAGAGCATTAGACATCGGAGGGGGCACCTGGGACCAACTTCGTGAAGCGGGGAGCCCGGCGGGGGGGTGGGGGGAGCAAAAGACCTGCGGCCTCAGCCCCTTCAGAGAGCCGAGAGATGACGGGGAAAGCCGGGGAAGCGCTGAGCAAGCCCAAAGCCGAGACAGTGGCCAAGAGTACCTCGGGGGGTGCCCCGGGCAGGTGCACCGGGTTTGGCATCCAGGAGATCCTGGGCTTGAACAAGGAGCCCCCCAGCTCCCACCCGCGGGCTCCCCTCGACGGTCTGGCCCCCGGGCACTTGCTGGCTGCGCGCTCCGTGCTCAGTCCCGCAGGAGTGGGCGGTATGGGGCTACTGGGGCCCGGGGGGCTCCCCGGTTTCTATGCACAGCCCACCTTCCTGGAAGTGCTGTCCGACCCGCAGAGCGTCCACTTGCAGCCGCTGGGCAGAGCGTCGGGGCCGCTGGACACCAGCCAGACGGCCAGCTCGGGTAGGTGAGGGCGAGGCTGTGTGGCTGCCTGACTGGGGTGACAGCCGGGAACCCCACGCCGTCGACTCTCGCTTGCACCGCAAGGCCTCCTCCGGGTGCACAAGTTCGTGCCAGGCCGAGAGGTCGCAGAGCGGGCCTGGAGCCGGCGCGCCCGGGGCGGGGGCTCGGAGGATGCTCCCGGCTGCGGCCGGGTTTTGGCCTCCGCGTTTCCGGCGGCCGAGCTGTGCTGCGGTCCCCGCGTCGGGCCCGGCTCTGCCGCGGCGCCTGATTGGGGCCCCACTGGAAACAAGGCTTAGGGTGTCGGAGCGCGTGGGGCAGTCGGGGGTCTCCTTCCATTGCTCCACTTCGGCCCCGGCCTCTCGGAGGACCCGCGCTCCTAGAGCCCGATTCCGTTCCGGGCTTTGGCGGCCCGGGAAGCGGGTGCCAGCTTCGGGCCCCAGCCCTGGTGTCCAAAGTTGTCCTTTCCTTCCTCCTTTCTTCCGTTCCAAGCCTCCCGCATTGGTCAGCTGGGTTTTAATTTTCTCCTCACGAGCTTAGACCACCCGGGCACGGCGGCGGCCCAAGGGGTCGCAATCCGAGATGCCACCTAAGCGGCACAATATCTCGGATCCCGGCGCCTCGCGGGCTCGGGACCCCTGGACGACCCTGCCGCGCCCTCCGCGGGCAGTTTTCCCGGCCTCACGTCTCCGCCAGCTCGGCCCTCCGGCTCTGGTTCGCGCTCTGCGATTTCCCCGATTTTTCGCTCTCGTTTAATTAATTAATTTTTATTTGGAGGGGCAACGAAAAGTGGTGCGTCGCAGTCTCTCCAGTCCTGAGGGGGGGCGCATGGTGCGGGCACTGGAAAGGGGGTTGTGCCCGGGAGCCCCCAGCCCTTCCCGGAGTCCAGCTCTCCGCGCCCAGGCTCCGCTCCTGCGGGCCACCTTCCGAACCCCGGCGCCACGGCTGCTAGCGCAGGGCAGGGCGCCGAACCCGGGGCACCGCCGGGGGGCCCTGCGACCCGCGGAGGCTGTCGCGCCCCCCTGCTGTCCCTGCCCAGGCGTGTCTGGGCCTTTGCTTCTCAGAACGAAACAGAACGGAATGTGTTCACGACCTCGGGATTGCGGCGCCGGCGTGGGTAGAAACAGCCGCGGCTTAGGGATGGCGTAGACCTCACGGAGGGCTCTCCGGGGAGACGGAGCAGGCCCGGCTGCTCCCGGAGGCCGCCGGGGGTGGGGCCCCCGCGGGTTTCGGGAGCCTGACGCGCCCGGGTGCTGCGGAGCGCGTCCCCCATTCTGCCGCACGTGCCTCCGCCCGCTTTTCAGATTCTGAAGATGTTTCCTCCAGCGACCGAAAAATGTCCAAATCGGCTTTAAATCAGACCAAGAAACGGAAGAAGCGGCGACACAGGTAAGGCCCCTGCAGCGTTTTCTGTCACCTTCCTGCTCACCTATACCCTGCCGTCGTCCCCTGATCGGGGGTAGGGTCGCTCGGACCCGAATTTCACCGGCTCTAGATCTGAGGTCCGCTGCTGTGCCAGGACGGGGAGACCAGACATTGTTTGGGGACATCCGTCCGGGGCCCTGGCGTCCGGCCGTGCTGGGTGAGGACTTTGACCGTCCGCCGGGGAAGCGGCACCGTTTCAGGCTTTCTCCTGCTTCTCCAGGAGAAAGGAAAGCCCCCAACTAGGGCTAAACCCGAGCCAGACAGGAGCTGACGGCCCCCAGGCGCCAGCCCTGCATCGGCACATTCGGAGAGCCACGCACACCTCCGGGCGGGCAGATCGGCTCTCCCCTCCCGCCGGAGCCTGTTCCTCTGCCCTCTGCCCCGGCCCCTATTCCTCTCCCGCCGTCCCTGTCAGCGCCGCCAACACCCTATCTTTCTGCGCCCACCGTTCGCAAAATCTCGAGCGTGATACCCGCATGGATGGCAAATTTTCCTTTGGCTTTTGCTCCTCTGTGATCCGTAAGCTTCAGTTTCCTTGTCTGTAAAATGCGGAGGGAGGAGTGTGTGCACTGAAGGACTCCGCAAGCCCTCTCTGGAGTGGAGTGGGCTGCCTTGGAGGATACAGATTAAAGAGCGAGGGTTTTTTTGTTTTTGATTTTCTTTAAATATTTTAAAAATAGACATTACTTGCACAAAGTTAAAATACAGTAGGTGCCGAAAGGTATATCCTGAAAAGTAATTCCCCACACCAGACCCGCATTCCCTTCCGCAGCCGCTACCAATTCCTTGTGCAAATGTATGAGGAGGTTTTCAACAAATAAAGGAGTGAGAACCAAAAATCGACCTGACTTCCTGCGGGTGCTGTTTGCCCCTACGCTTACCCTAGCTTTGTTTTCCCAGATCTCTCTCCGCCCCAGTGCGGATGGAGCGCCCGCAGGGTTCCCGATCGCTGGGTGGACGTTTCCCCCGGGGGTGCTCTCCACCTCATCCTCTTCTCCCCAATTTGTTCTCAGCCTCTTTGCACACTTTCTCTGGGTGCTTTTCTGCGTTCCTCTCTTCCTTCACACCCGGAAATGACCCCCACGTTTTAAAACGGTTCTTCCTCACCTCTCAGGCCCCAACAGGTTCTGGCTTGAATGGGGGTGAACTTTGACTTGGTTTCTTGGTGATCTCGGTTTGTTCCCTTCAGGCGGCTGTTTGTTTTTGTTTTGTTTTGTCTTGTTTTATTGTAAATGGAAACGTTGTTTTTTTAGTCCTGATCCTGGGTCATTTTTTACATTCATCCGTCCAGCAAATATTCATTAAAACACCTCCGATGCATTCATATCATGCTGGTGGCAGGGTGGGGGTAATCCTGTCAGCCTCTGGAGCCTGGACAGGGACCTCCAGCAGGGACAGGGACCCGGAGGGCAGGCTGGAGTCCGGCTGACCGGCTTCTGTGCTGCTGACCGAATACAGGTGGGGGAGGGATTCCCACAGCCAGGAGAGCCCCGGACAAAGCACCCCCAGGAGCAGTGCTTCTGCATGGGGGCATCTCCTTGTGCAGCACTTGGAGCTGACTGACCCACGGCCGAAAGTCCATGCTTAAGTTTTCTAACCCTCTATCCTCACCTGATACCCTCTCCACCAGGGAAAATTGGGGTGCTTTGGAGGGTTCCCAGGGAGACAGGACAACAGCCCTAGGTTTCGGGCTATTTCTGGTACACGAAGGGAACAGATTATTGGAGAGAGGAGAATGGCTGCTGCAATTTTTAATTAGTAAAAAATGTGTTTTCCTGAGCCTGTCTCATTTGGGGAGTTCAGGTAAGAGACCCTGGAATATGGTGATGAGAGGCAAGCATCTCTCGATCACCCAGAAACACAAGAGGCTTAGCAGGGGTTAGAGAGGGGAGTGGGAATGGAGCAGCAGCCTTTGGAGTCGCTCAGGTTTTGCTCTTCCCTTTTCCTGGAAGGCTCAGCTCTGATAGACTGGTTACAATGGGAAACTGAAGGGTCTGGGGTTCTGCCTAAAGCCAGGAGCAGGGTTTGGGTCACGTTGTACGGGGCGCAGGGAGACTCCCTGGAGGGCACATCAGCATAAACACGTGGATTAGCTCTGAGGCAGGAACGAGGGGAAGTTTGGGGGATTTGAGGCATTGTTTCATTTTGTTTCTTTCTTAACTCCTGTCTTTTTTGTTTTGTTTGGTTTTTTTGTTTTGGGTTATTTGTTTGTTTTTAATGAGAGCCGAGGCTGACACTTGAAAGGTTCTGAATGACCTGCCATCCCCTTTCCTCTTTGGCTTTGACCACGCCCCAATAGCTGTGTGCCTCAGTTTTCCTAGTTTTGAAAAAGACTTGCATGTTTTGATTGTTTATTTTGACTGTTCAAGGACCCTTCGGTAAGTGGCAGGAGAGGAATAGAAAGCAGCAGATCTTCAAAATTCTGAAGAATTAACTTTCTGTATACATAAGCATTCTGTTCTCCCCAAGAGGATAGGAGAAACACTTTAGAATCAAACCAGTCATTTTCTATAAAGAGCAGAATCTTTCTTTCTCACACATCCCCCTCCCCCCCCCCCCCCCATCATCCTCCAAGACGTTAAAGCCAACACCAGCACAAGGAGTATACGGGGCTGACATTTGTACTTTTTCCTTGTGTTGGGAGAGGCGAGGGCAGCAGCGAGGGATTTTAAACCACACACCCCCCTCCCATGCTGTTTCCAGGGTCCAAATCCCGGAGACTCAAGCAGGGAAGGTACCATTGTTCAAGTGGAGTCTATGAACAAATCTGGACTATACTGCTCCCCAGCTTGTTGATGAGGGTGCAGGATAAAGGTCACCTAGAACCTGGTGAAATTCTGGTCTGAAAAAAGAATTTGTGTCTGTAAGTGGGTGTGTAGTGTATTTATTCAAGAAAGGGAGATATGAACCCCCTAATATTGGAGGTAAAACATTGTGTGTACTGGAGCATATCCATTTGCTAGGGTGAGAGGATGTGGCTTTTACTGGATTCTTAAAGCAGTTTATGACCCAAAATAGGTCAATGTGAACCGCTCTGTGGGCGCTGGGGGAGTGTGTGGGAAGGCGCTCTCGGGATGACCTGAATGAAACTCCCCTGAATGGGGCTCCCGCTGGGTGAGTGGCTGAGCCTGTGTGTGGGATGGCGGGGAGGTGACCCTTCACTTCTGAGCCCAAGAAGGGACAGAGCACCCCCTTTCCCATCTCCCTGCCCCCAAGACTGCGTGGGGCGGCTCTAAGGAGCCTTTAGGTCTGGGCAGGTGAGGAGAGTGGGGCGTGCTGAGGTAGGGTGAGCGGCTGCTAGAATCAGTTAGTTCTCTGCTGTACAGACGCTGGGGCTGGGGCGGCTGCTGCATTTGACCTTCTGGTGAATCTCTGAACTCTGAGTACGATTTAAAAGATCAACCCTCCTGTCTGTGGGAGGAGCCCAGGAAGCTGGGCCCGAGGAGGCTGAGGCACTTACTCACCTGGTGAGCCCTCCACGCTGTGCCTGGGAGAAGAGGGGCTTTCTGTAGTTTTCTAAAATTTGTGTCTGAACACCCTTTCCCCCCAAGCACTTCCAGGAAAATTCCCAGTATAAAATGTCACTGAGGGCTGAAATAATACTCCCCACCACCAGAAGGGTAGTGTGGGCCCTCAGACTTGAATGAAGAAGAGTTTAGAGGATGGGGGGGGCGGGCAGGGAGCGAGGTTGCATCCGATTGTGCTGGCCAAGCCTGGGTTTGGGGTCTGTCCAGGAGCCATGGGGGAGGGCCATTCTGTCCTCTCTGGGACAGCTTTTTCCATTTTTGGGGTCCTGACTGACTTTTTTTGCTCCCCTCAGGACAATCTTTACCTCCTACCAGCTAGAGGAGCTGGAGAAGGCATTCAATGAGGCCCACTACCCAGACGTCTATGCCCGGGAGATGTTGGCTATGAAAACGGAGCTCCCGGAAGACAGGATACAGGTAACAGCTCTGAGTTCCTCTCTCACACTTTCCTTACCCTCAGGGACATCGACTGCCCCAGGCTCCCAGACACCCATCTCCCACCCCGCAGCAGAGTGTGTGCTTGCCTGTAATCACGTCCTCATGCACAGCAGTTCATTTAAGCAGGCAGGTGTTTGCTGAATACCTACCATGTGAGATGGGCACTGCTGGGGGAACAAGAGACTTAGCGGAGGAGGCGAGGCCTGCTGCTGCACTGTGGGCTTCCTGAGGAGTATGTGAGACAAACCATGTGCCTGGAGGTGGCCCCAGGCCTCTCTGGGTGCCTGGGGGTGGGGGAGCATCTGTCTCCCTTCCTTCCACTGCTTTCCCTTGAGGAAGAGGTTGCCCCCTCCTTTCCTATCTACTCCCCACCACCTCCATCTACCTGAGCCTCCTGCCTCCTCACAACCCAACAGCTGGCCCTGCCCAGGGCTGCTGCTCCTTGACTTCTCCCAGATCTGGCCCATGATGTGCTCATTAAGCCCCTCCCCGTCACTGGAGAGTTTTGTGGCGGAACCAGCCCTGACCTGGACTGGGCTGTCCTCAGCTCTGCTGGGTGCCCAGCCTCCTTTCATCAGTGTCAGGATCCTCCCAAGTCCAGGACGCCCCTAGCTGGGCAGGAGTGGGCTGCTTAATCATTTCTTCGGGAGGAGATGAAATCTGATGATTCTCCAGACAGGGCCTCTAAGAGCAGGAAGAAGTGATGCGGTTGGAGGAACACTTCCAGAAGCTTTGGGGTTGCCTTAGTTGGATCAAGACCTTTAATCAAAGTTGCTCCTATCGGGACACCTGAGTGGCCCGGAGTAGTTGACGGCCCAGGCTGGAAAAGGGCAGAAAGGGTCCCGACTTCCTGAAACCCCGTCTGCTCCGAATCTCCTCCTCCTTTGTGTCTCCACGTGTGATGTGAGTTGGGGCGGGTAGGGGACAAGTCCAGAGGAACCGAATAAGGTGTGTAGGTTCCTTGCGCTCCCTCACTGGAGAACCAGAGAATGGGAAATGAGGCGTGAGCTCCTTTTCCAGAAGAGCCTGCCTCTCCACTGGAAGTCTATGGGGAATTTCAGCCAATGGCTTTAGACAGTGACACTAACAATAAGCTCAATTATTCATAAGCAGATTATCTGTTTGGCGTATTATCCATGGTGGCCTGGATCCATCATACCCCCCAGCTGAGTTCCAGTGGGAACAGGCTGGGTGTTGCTTCTGGATCTTGTGTGTGCGTGTGCGTGTGCGTGTGTGTGTGTGTGTGTGTGTGGTCATGACGAGCAGCGGGGGTGGGGTGAGACTCCCCGATTTCCCCGTTGGTTGGTCCCACATTTGCGCTACTGACCAGTAGGAAAGAACAGCCTGTGCCTTGCGGTGGCTCGTCCTGAAATCCCTTTGGCTGTGGTGGTGGTGGTGGGTGGGAGTGTCTGAAAGATCTGGGGAAGCTCGCCCTTGCCGTCGGCTGTCACTGCATTGCTGCAGATGCCCAGCCCGCAGACTCTAGGCTTTTTAAAATCGCCTGGGGCGTTGTCTACAGGGTGGTGTCTGAAGCCACCAGAACCAGCATGGATGAGCCAAGAGTGTGGAGTACATTGATTCCCTGGATTGTGAGGACTGGCTGTGGAATTTGCGGTTATGGGAGAACCAAGGCAAGGATCTCTCCAGCTCTTGCAGCACCGCCTGGTTCTTTGGCTAAATGATGCCCCCGGAAGGTGTTTGTGAGTTGTCAAATAGCCGTGCCCCCAAGCGTTTTACCAAGTGGCCTGGGAAAGGTCTTAACATCTATCGGTGGCAGTCACAGCTCTATCCCACAGAGCAGTTCTCATGTGCCCAGTGCTCTAACTATGGGACATGCACAGGAGAGGCAGGGTGGTGCAGTGGTTAGGGACACCAACTCTGGAGCCAGACTGTCCTGGCCTCACCAGTTACCAGCTGAGTGACTGTGGACAAGTTACCTCACCAGCCCGAGCTTCCCATTGCTCATCTGTAAAATGGGGATGACAGTGGCAGCTGCAGGTGTCATGAGCCATGTGTGTGGCGTGTTCCAGTGGGTCCGGCATGGGCCCAGCTCACTTGGTTTGAGCTCTGATCTCATTAAATCCTGGCGACAGCCTGTGGGGGAGAGAACATTAGCCTCCTTTTATAACTGAGGAAAGTGAGGCCAGACAACTAGTAAGTGGGGGGACACAGGGACCCACCTAAGGTCTCTTCAGGCTGCACCTAAAGCCCACTCATTCACCACCTGCCTCTTGGGTTTGAAGCCTTTGCTTTGACTTGAAGCTGGAGGAACAGAGATGATTTGATGTCAGGTGGGAGGCCTGTATCAAATCTTCTTTATTAAAAACCCCCCAATATTTATTGAGTACCAGATACTGTTCTAAAAACCCCCAAAACTCACTCATAACAAAATTATTCTTTGAATGAGCGAATTCAGGTACATGAGTTCAAAAGGGTGAAACGTGAGTCACCCTTGCCACTGTCCACCGGCAGTCCCTCCAGGGGTTACCAGTTTCCTTTGGTTCCTTCCAGAGATAGTTTATGTATATTCTTTTTTTTAAAAAAAATTTTTATTGGAGTATAATTGCTTCACAATGTTGTGTTAGTTTCTGTATTCTATTCCCAAAGGATCCTCAGAACGCCCGATGGACTAGGTACTATTACTATTCCCACTTTACAGGTGGGGAACCTGAGGCCCAGAGTTCAGACCTGAGTCCCTTTAGACTCCAGAACACTTACTTCACTACACTGCCACCCTTCCTCCTCATTTCCTCTCAGCATGTTGATTTAGTGGAACCAGTGCATCTAAGGATGGACCCTACCACTCAGAGCCAGTCCCCTCCACTCCCCCAGCTTTCAGGCCTTTGTCTATGTGTTGAGGCTTAAGGGGAAGGGCAGTTATTAGAGGCTCCAAGTCTGAAGTTAGACATTCTCAGGTGGAATGGAAAGGTTATTGGACTGGATATCCAGTCAGGGACCCAGATCTTAGTCCTGGCTCTGACACCCACCAGGCATGGCAGAGGCCAAGCCATCTGTAAAGGAAAGGGGGAATCCCTCCCAGAGAGCAGCCTCCTCAGGATCACCTCTCTCACTGGGTCCCTGGACTGCCATGGAGGAGTGGGACAGCCCCAGGTGGACAGCTGGGACACACACTTCTGCTGGGCCAACCCAAGTAAGCCCCTGGATGTGTCTGAGACCTACTGTCCAATGTCTAACGAGAACACAGTGTAGATGTGAAAAGTCAGACACACCTACTTCTAATCTTTGTTTCACTGCCAGCAAATCAAACTCTGAGCCTCAGATTACTCATTTGTGAACGAATAATAACAAAAAGTATCTAAAATAATTTAACAAAAGTATTGTTATTGGCATTATTAGTGCATAGCATTGTCCCAGATATTAAGTGCTTTCCATGCCCTTTTTCATTACATCCTCACAAAAGCTAGATGAGTTAGATGCTATTCTTATCCCCATTTTCTGGATGAGGAAACTGAAGGGCTGAGAGGTGAAGTAAGTGGTGGACTGGGATTCAAACCCGGTACTCAAGTACTATCTCAGGAGAGCAAATGAGGGAAACTGGAGCACCCATCTACAGAAACTGGAATAATTAATGCAAATTGCAGTGATGAGGGACCAGCCCCCTCAGTAGTGGCGATTCCCTCTGCCTTTGTGCTTTGAGGGCAAGCACTTCCTCCCTCTATATCTCTCTGGGTTGGAGTGTGAAGGGATAAGGTGCATTGCTGGGGGAAGAAGAGATTTCCAGTCTTCATATCAGACTCAGACATGAAGTCCTTTCTGTGTCTCTGAGAAATGCTAGGATATGGCATTCTGGAAGCCCCTGCCGATGTCAGCCCTGGGGAAGAGGAAATGGATTTCCAGATTGACTTTATTTCCTCTGTGTGGTCACTCATTCTCAGAGTTGTAAGACAGGAGAATATTAAGCTATTCACTTATGTTTACTGTATTTTTTTCTGACAAGAGTTGTATTTATTTAAAATGCCTCCATTGCAGAGATATGGAGGCACAAAGTGGACAGAGACATCTCACCTCCACTCTTAGCAGCCTGGTGTGTTTGGAAGGATGATATTTGGATTCTCTGACTAGCACTGTTCCATTCTGCCTCTTTTAAAGTGGTCCCCTCCCAAGGGTAGGGAACAAAGTTTTAGGGGATTATATTCCAGAAGTAAGAAGATAGCTGCCTGGATGGGAAAGGGTTTCCGTGTGTCTCAGCCCGGGACGTTTATGAGATCACAGGGCAGCTTTTTAAAATTACCCGTGCCAGCCCCCCACACCTAGCAATGCTAGGTTTGGTTTGATGTGGAGCCTGTACGTTTTTAAAGCTCTCCAGGTGATTGTGTGTAGCCAGTGTAAAAATGCTGGGTCAAGGGCTTCCCTGGTGGCGCAGTGGTTGAGAGTCTGCCTGCTGATGCAGGGGACAGGGGTTCGTGCCCCGGTCCGGGAAGATCCCACATGCCGCGGAGCGGCTGGGCCCGTGAGCCATGGCTGCTGAGCCTGCGCGTCCGGAGCCTGTGCTCCGCAACGGGAGAGGCCACAACAGTGAGAGGCCTGCGTACCGCAAAAAAAAAAAAAAAAAAAAAGCTGGGTCAGAGGCTCAGGAAAAGAGTTTCAGTGTTTCAAGTGGGTTAATATGAGTGGAAGAAAGTGGAGTACTGGGTAACCTGGTGGGATGACCTGTCCAGAGGTTCAGGGAAGGATGCTGCATGAGGCTGCCAGGAAACATGGGCAGAGCTGCCCCCTAGTGGACATCAGAGGCTACAGCAAGGCCAGGCTTTTCTGGGCCTGAAGCTGGGACTGGAAAGGGTGTGCTGAAATATGCTGTCAGAAGTGCTGAGTGGATGTGGAGTGTGAGGTCGTTAAATCACGCCAGCAATGAGCCCATATTAATCAGCTTCCAGTCAGAGGAGAGAAGAGAATCTAAGTGACTATGATGGCAAGTGCCACATGGCCAAAAAAGCCGGGCCCGATAGCCTGGGGCAAGA